CGACAGAAATCAAATTCCCGAAGGGGGACCCTATGGACTTAAAACCCCAAGGGAGGCTACCAGAATCAAGAATAGAAAAAGCATCCATAGGAGAGGAAAAAAGATTAACAGAAATACCAGAGGAATATAGGGACCTTGCTGAAGTCTTCAGTGAGGAGAGGGCGAATGAGCTTCCCCCCCACCGACCCACAGACTGTACCATTGAATTCAAGCCTGGGGCAAAACTCCCGAAGCCCAGATTATACTCCATGAGCCCAAAGGAGAAGGAGGAAATGGAAAGATTTATAAAAAAAAACCTGGAGAGAGGTTTCATTGAGCCAGCCAAGCCTAAAGTGGCTGCCCCGGTCCTTTTTAGAGAGAAGAAGGATGGCTCTTTACGTTTATGCGTGGATTATAGGGCCCTGAATACAATCAGTGAAAGCAACCTATACCCGCTGCCCCTCATGAAAGACATGCTGTCACACCTATCGAAAGGGAAAAATTTTTCTAAACTAGACTTAAGGGAAGCTTACTATCGAGTGAGAATCAAGGAAGGGGACGAATGGAAGACTGCATTTAACTGCCCCATGGGGTGCTATCAATTCAAAGTCTTGCCATTTGGATTACAAGGGGGCCCTGCAGTCTTTATGCAATTAATCAATGACGTTCTAAGGGAGCACCTGTTTAAGGGGGTCCTTGTTTACTTGGACGACATTCTTATCTTTACTGAAACAAAAGAAGAACACGTCAAACTTGTCAGAGCGGTTTTAAAGAAGCTGCGAGCCGCTCACCTATATGCCAAACTCTCAAAATGCGAATTCCACCAGGAAAGGATAGACTACCTAGGCTATCGCATATCCCCACAGGGCATTGAAATGGACCCAGAGAAGGTCAGAGCAGTATTAGAATGGGCACCACCCCGCACAAGAAAGCAACTACAAAGTTTCCTGGGCTTTGCAAATTTTTACCGCCAATTCATCCCCTCATTTGCACAGATAGCCTTGCCCCTCACTAACTTACTAAAAATGAAGGGAACATCCTCAGTAAAACCTAGCCAGCCACTACATGGACAATGGAGTGCCAAGCAGCGTTTGAGAGACTAAAGAGACTTTTTTCTGCCGAACCAGTACTAAGGCACCCAGACATGGACAAACCCTTCATAATACAGGCAGATGCAAGTGATGTGGCAGTGGGGGCTGTGCTATTACAAGAAAATGATGATGCAGTATTGCAACCCTGTGCATATACATCCAAGAAACTCACGGAAACAGAACAGCGCTGGCCCGTATGGGAGAAGGAGGCTTATGGGATACGTTGGGCATTACTCACATGGCGACAGTTCCTGGAAGGCAACAAAATCCCCTTCCAGGTGTGGACTGATCACAAAAATTTGGAAGCCCTGAAAACTTCCAGGAAACTCAATCCCAAACAAGCCCGCTGGTCCCAGCATTTTCACCAATTCCAATTTAAGCTCAAACATTTACCAGGAAGAAAGAACTTCCTGGCAGATGCACTATCTCGCATGCCCCAATATAACAGCGCACGAACCACAGACTCTAGACCAATAATGGCAGAGTCACAACTGGCAGCATCAATAACCACAAGAACCCAAGCCAAATTAAAACCACAACTGGACAGCCAAACTGGAATTGAATTCAGAAAAAGTTTGGAAACAGATGATTGGTTCCAGAAAAACAAAAATGTGTGCACAATGAAAGACGGGTTGCCTTGGATAGGGGAAAAGTTATATATACCAACAACTCAAAGAGTAACTTTCATGCACCTTTGCCATGACACAAAATCAGCAGGGCATTTTGGATTTGTAAAAACTTTACATTTAATTAAACGGCAATTTTGGTGGCCATCCATGAAAAAGGACATTGAAAGTTATATAGCCAGTTGTCCAAAATGTGCCACGGCAAAGAGGTTGCAAGGGAAAGTGCCAGGACTATTGCAAACAGTGGCAAGTCCCTCAGCCCCCTGGAGAGAAATAGCCATGGATTTTATAGTGGAATTGCCAGAAAGCAATGGGAATACTGTGGTCTGGACGGTCACGGACTTGTTTTCCAAACAGGTGCACTTTATCCCTTGCCAAAAGATTCCCACTGCAAAAGCCTTAGCAAAACTTTTCATCCAACACATTTACAGATTGCATGGGGCACCCCAACGCATCATCTCTGACAGGGGGGTGCAATTTACGTCTGCATTTTGGAAGGAATTTTTATCCCTCTTAGGAACCACTCAGGGACTGACATCTAGCCACCACCCTCAAGGAAATGGGGGGGCTGAAAAAATGAACTCAGTACTTAAGCAATATTTAAGATGTTTTCTTAGTTTCCAGCAGACCGAGTGGGCGGACTTACTCCCCTTTGCAGAAGTTGCCTACAATAATGCAGTCCACTCCAGCACAGGTTACACTCCTTTTCAAATAGCCACCGGTCAAAGTTTCAACCCCATGCCAGAATTAACCCCAAACGAACCAACGATCCCCTCGCTGAAAGAATGGATGGAAAAATTACAAAACACCTGGCCAATAGTCAGAAAAGCACTAGATGAAGCTAGGCAGGCTTACAAAACACAAGCCGATAAAAAAAGGGTTGAGCCTACACCATTCATTATAGGAGAGATGGTGTACTTATCTACAAAATACCTAAAGTCCCTACAGCCCTGTAAAAAACTTGGACCAAAATACATAGGACCTTTTCCAATCAAAAGAATCATAAATCCAGTAACAGTAGAATTAGAATTACCCAAAAATCTCAGGCAAATACACCCAATTTTTCATTGCAGCTTGCTGAAAAGAGAGCATCAGTCACCTCTACGGCCAAAAATCCCCCCCCACCACCTCCAATCATGGGGGAGGGTGAACAACACTTCGAAATAAAGGAAGTCCTTGACTCTAGGAGATATCATGGAGCAACTCAGTACCTAGTTGCCTGGAAACACCTCCCTCCCTCACAAAATGAGTGGGTCCATAAACGTCATGTCAGAGCCCCGAAGCTATTGAAGAAGTTTCACACAGAGTATCCTAACAAGCCTGACTAAATTTTATACTTGTGTTTTCTTTCAGGTGGATCTCTCTTATTGTTAAGAGGGGCCGGATGTCAGAATCCAATTATATTTCATCTTTAAATTATCAAATATAGAAACTCCCAATTCTGCCTTCTCTGGATTCTGCCATAAGAGGGAGAGAAGGGGGAGAACAAAGGGGCTTTATGGCCCTCACTTCCTTCTTTACACTTCAAAGAGCTGAATGCTGAATGTGTGTTTATTGTAACCTCGAAGCGTTAACATACCAAAGGAGGGAAGTTGCCTTTCATGTAGTTATCTGAAGTCTCCATCCAGACGGAAGAAAGAAGAAAGGGAGTGGAATTGTGATACTTGAAACTATCACTGGAAGGGGGGTTGATTGGGTGGGACTACTGGGGAACCCCTTAAAACCTTGAATGGGAGAGCTTGGACCCCAAGTCCTGTCTAGCATGCCTACAACCATTTTCTCTTAATAAAGGATTCCTGTTGGAAGAATTATTCCAAGAGTTCTGTCTTCTTAAGATGCAAAGTGGGGTGGGTCCTTACAGTTTCCTTGTTTTGTTAAGTTCCATCTTTAATTCTCTATTCTCAATTTTGTATCCATTTATCTGTTTTATCTGCTCCTTCTCTGTTGTTGTTTTCTGGGAATTATTTTTGTTGTTGTACAGTTAACTTGGAAATAGATTGGTTTATATTTTCAAAGTTATTTCGGAATTCTTTGTGGTTTAAAATCATTGTTATTTGAATTAGTTGCAGTATACTATATATCTCCTCCTGTGGAGTATTTATGTTTTCTTGATATATTCTTTCTACATGTCTTTGATCCATGATGGCCAAGAATTTGAGTTTTTAACTTCTTTTATTTTCTCTGCAAATAGCTTTAGAGTCCCGATTAAATAGATATCCATATTCCAAATCGTTCAAAAAATATTTTTGTTGAAATTTATACTTCTCTCAATAGGTGTCAGCATCTATTTGTTTTTCAATTTTCAAAATGAACAATTATCTTTAGAATGAGAGTCTTAATCATTCAACAATTTTACATTTATTCAGATTTGAATTTTAAATTTCAGGTTTTATATTTGTTTCACTTCCATATATTTTGATTCTCCATAAAAAGATTAATTTGCCACTTCAGTAAGTATAAGGGTGGGGCGGAAGTCCCCCTCCTTCCCTTTCGGAGGAATTTTGTTTCTTGGGGATCTTTTCCAGGAATTTAAATATAGAATAGAAAAGAGAAGATCAAATTCCTCACTCAGTTTCAAGCACACAAAACCGGAAGTCCAGATCAGAGCTTTTTCAACTTTTAAGCCCAGTTGTTCAAATGCTGCCATTTAACAGGCCATTCGTTTGCAAAACCAAAGGATCAGAAAACGAGCAATGATTTATATGATTCTATTGCTGTGGATACCTGAGAATTTACATGAAAACATGATTCTCAAAAGATTCTATTTAGTGATTGGGAAGTGGGGTTAATCTGGGATCCTTTTTAGGCAACAGTGGGACCCGGGTATATGGATATGTTTATGGGGTGACTGCACGACTCCATATGAGTGTATTGTAAATGCCACAGAAGTACCAATAGAAGAGAATATTCTAACACTGATGATGTTACCTAGCTGGATAATGAAACGTTTGCAAGAAGTGAAGCTCAGAGAGCATCAAGGACCCCACTGTCCCAGAAGGGGACAGAAATGGAAAGATGTTCAGAGGTTAAAATATTTGGAATGGTCCATTTTAGAATCAGAAAATTTTTCACCTCAACCTAAAACAGGCGTCCATTTTACTGAGATTGTTTTATACTGAAATTAAAAGGGACATGACCCCTGCAGCACTATTTTGAGCATTTCTTACTCCAAAGGCAGTCCTATTTGAGTCTAGAAAAAGCTTACTGCCTGGAAATATATTCCAATGTAGTTGGATATGGTTAGGGATATAGATGAGATGTAGTAATATGTTACATTTTCTCCTCGTAACTTTTTCAAAAGTTTTCACGGGGGGCAATTCACAGTTTTATTTCCTGCAATAATGCTCTGGATCCAGACAAGATGATCAAAGACCTTGGTGTAGAGGCCAGGCTTACGCGGTTGGGCACAAGGATTGGGTCCCCAAAATACAATGTCCTGGACTTGTCCATTACAGATGAGAGGTCCCCCAGAGTCAGCCTGTTGAGAAAAATCAAACATGAAACATTACTACCGTATCTATGAATGGGAAGTGAAGCAAACAATTCCCTCCCATCGTCCATTCACATATAGCCCCCAATGTTTCATTTCGATGTTCCCCAATCCAGAATCCTTATAGAAGAATTTAACTCCTTTCTATGTTTATACAAAATGCCTTCAAGGCTAGATTTCTATCATAGCTTTGAAATTTGGCATCATTTCTTTAGGAGTCTGTCTTAAAATGGATCATCTTACGTGACATGTATCTTTGTCTCCTTGCAGGATATCTGCACACAATATTGTGCTTATCACTGTCTGCCATGGATAAGCTGCTCGACACACCACATGATCAAGTATGTTAATGTTAGCACAATGAGGGACATCGGGATAAGTCTCTGAAAAAAATAAAAAATAGGCAAAATTCTACCTTTCACAATTTACCACCTAGATGCATAGAGCTATAATTTCCATTATCTCCAACCAGTGGAGCTGATCTCATTGCCTGGAATTGGAAGTGTTGTCTTTCAAAGCCATTCAAAGGGACTCCTGGGAAAAACAGATTTACTTAAATGTTTTTTTCTCAAGATATTAATAAGTATTCCATCAGCTGATGGACATTTGAAGGCTTCTCAAATTTCTCTGGCACTCTATGCAAAGATTTCCTTGTTGGAAAAGTGGGGCTTTTGCTAGTTCAAAAGTCACAGAACTGATCTCGCATCCCCTGGAGATGACCTAGAACGGGGGTCTCCAAACTTGGCAACTTTAAGACTTGTGAACTTCCACTCTCAAAATTCCTCAGCCAGCATACTGAAACTTCCATATCTGAAGATGAAGGAATTGCATAGGTTTGTATTGTGTACAAAAAATCAGGAATCTTGTCCAAAATCTCCCTTGGGGAGGACAGATGAGGTGGAAATAAATCTAAGGAAACAAAGGAAAAATGTCATCTGAATCAGACAAAGAAGGGCCAGAGAATATGGAATAAACCCCAATCCCAGCTAATCAACAAATCAAGAACCTTTGAGGATTAAAAGGGGACCTAAAGCTCACCCACTCCTTGAGTCATCTTTGGATCCACAACATAGGAGTTTCTGTCCCTCTAGCTGGTCCCTGGCAGCCTAAATGAGAAGGATGTGTCTAAATATGGATGGGTGCATGTGTGGGTATGAGAAAGAACAAATTTACATCACAAGCAGTAAGGGTTTGCTGTTACTTTAAATTCACTTGGTCTCCATGTATTCCAAAAAACCTGTGGTGCCTCAGTGATTAGTTGAAAATTATTTGTGTGAATCCTTAATTATTTCCCAGCTCTTGACCAAGCCTGTGTGACTTGGCCTACACCTATTTGGTAGAAACCTAGGTACAAAACAAGGTGGGCTTGATCTACCTACCTTGGCAGGCTTGAATGTGTGGATGACCATAAGCCAAAGCTGAGAGTGCACGTAACACTTCCATGGCCTTATTAGCAATAGCAATAGCACTTAGACCAGCGGTTCTCAACCTGTGGGTCGCGACCCCATTAGGGGTCGAACAACCATTTCACGGGGGTCGCCAAACAACGCAGTCTGCCATTCCCCCCCCCTTTTCCTTAGCTGTGCTACTCCCTCTTATTCTATTGGCTTTTGTAAGCCAATAGAATAGACTCTATTCAAGAGACTCTATTCTTTTGGTGTTTGAATAGACTCTCTTGAAAAGAATCTAATTCTATTGCTTTCAAAAGCCAATAGGAATTGTCCAGGCTGTCTCTGCCTGCTGAGCCCACCAAAAGTCCCAATCTGCAAATGGTGCTGCAAGTTGTCTGCAGCTAAAGTGAGCTTTCTGGACATTTCCACCCCTCCCTGCTGAGCAATTACTAAATGTAAGAAAAAGAGGGCCAGGGGTGGGAGGTGGGAGGCCGGCAGGTGCAGGGAGGGTTGCTGGCGCACATGGGGCCCGGCGGGTGCCTTACCTCCCTTGGGCTGGGCCAGCTGGTGGCCCAGCCAGTGGTCACCCTGCGCCCTCGCTGCCACGTGCCATGGCCGCCCAGGAGCGCCTGGGCCTGCCTGCTGCCGCACCAAACGTGTGGAGGCCAAGGTAAGGCTAGCGGGGCAGCGGTGGACACAGGGAGAGTTGCTGGTACGCGTGGGGCCCAGCGGGTGGCTTACCTCCCTTGGTCTGGGTCAGCTGGTGGTCGGCCTGCGCCGTCGCTGCCGCTTGCCAGCTATGCCTTTGCCAGCGCGGGGGCGGCACCATGCATGCGCGGCGCTCCCGGGCCAAGGCAGTTTCTGGGCGACGGCCTGCGTGCATCCTCCTCCTACCCTGCTCGCAGGGAAATACAGGTAGTCCTCGACTTACGACCACATTGTTGGGGGTTGCGGCATTAGGAAGGTTGAGAACCACTGACTTAGACCTATATACTGCACTCTCTGGGTGATTTACAATATCTGCATATTGCCCCTAACAATCTGAGTCCTCCTTTTATCAATCTCAAAAGGATGGAAGACTGAGTCAACCTTGAGTCCCATCAGGATCAAATTCCAGGCTGGGAGCAGAGATAGCCTGCAATACTGCATTCTAACCACTGCACCACCAGGATTTCAAAGGAAGAAGTCCTCTGCAACGACCCATAGAGATTTTATATCCATCCAAGGATAGACCACGTTTTTGAGTTCATATTTGGTATTTTGAGAGCAAGTGGTTAATATCCTCTGAAAACATCCTCCGCAGGAGACTTCTCCATGGCAAAACACAAAACACCCCATTATTAAAGGTAATGAAGCCAGGAGAGACTGCCATGCTAATGGGACTTTTCTGATTCCCAACAGCACTGATATAAATAAACCTGATCCTATAGGGTTTTTTTTCAGCTATACAGCATGCCAGTTACTTACTGATTTCTTTTATTCCAAGGACCTTGTGGGTGTGGAAAGGATGAAGAAATGGAACCTTAGGGAATCCCATTGTCCATCCACATTCCAATATTCATTGGTGACAAAGTGGGACCCTAGACCTAGTTGATGTTACATCAAAAGTTGGGTCTGAGTGTATAGACAGAGATCCCTACCTTGAGGAGATGTGATTGTGCCCCATCCCACACTGAGCCCACACTGGGAGGGTTGGAAGGCAAGCTGAGAGGCGCAATTTGTGCAGTCTTCCTAACAGGTCTGTCTAGCCTGATCAACATGATGTTCTTGTCCCATTTAGTAAAGTTTTTGCTACAGCGAAAAAAGTACTTCTCCTTTGGGTATCTTCTCTGCTCATTGTCAAATTGCACACTTTGTTTATGCATTCCAAGGTATATGTAGATACTGCCACAAGAAAAACAAAAAGAGGTTAACAACAACAACTTAAAGTAAACTCTATATTACTTTGGATGGTCCTTGACCTCATTTTGGCTCTCAAGCAGGATTGTTAGCGCCTGAAACCTGGAAGAGTTACAGTCAATGTCCTAGAGATCTGGGTTCATTCAAGAAATTTATTCAAGGTGATTGAATAAGCTATTTCTATTGTTTATGTAAAATCTTGAAGCGTGAATTCACCTGTGTGCTGTTTAGCACTCAGAAAGCTCAGCATATAATATGAATCCATCTTTTTCTTGACTTGGATGTGTATTGTGTGAATGTTGCACTTATAAATTCTAGATGACTGTGTTAAAGATAGAACCTATGTGGTTACGGTACTAATGTTATGATTTTGTATTGCACACATGCTCTCTCAACCCAGCCTATCTCAAAGGATGGTGGGATAGATAAAGACGAACACAAAATCTGGATGGTGTCCACTCTGCTCTTCTTTAGAAGAGGTATTAAGGTGTAGTGCCTCAGCCAGGCCTTTGATAAGGGAGAGAGAAGCCTCTCACTTCATCATCTTTTTATCTTTTATGTTTTACTGATTTTTTTAAAAAAATATTTTCTTATGGCAAACCCCCAGAGTGAGGCAGCATATGGTTACTATTTTCTGGTTAGTTGTGCAGTCAGTCAGATATTTAGACTGAATTTGGCATTTTTATCCACCTATCAAGTCCTTCCCAAGGACCTGGGGTAGGTAAATTGTGTGGTTCCATGGTATTAAATGGATTGTCACAGGATGTTCCAAGTAAAGTTCCCTTTTGCAATTGACTGTGGTGATTTTGTCAATGCTGATGGTATTCAGGTAATTTCAGAATTTCTTATTCTTGTTATTATTATATTCCAGAAAAAGAAAAGATATGAATACTGTGGTGAAGAAGATGGAAATTCAACCATAAATATAAACAGCATTGCTCAAAATATGATTGTGAGGAGCAATAACAGTAACAGCAGAACACTCATTCAAAATGCACAGAGAAGTCATTAAAAACTAGCAGAAACATTATAAAAAAATCTGGATATCTAAACACGATCTCCCTCAACCCTTCCACATTCTGTAATTTTCTCACATGTCGCAGTGTGCAGCAGTGAGCACCCATTCCTGATTGATCAAAGTCCCACTGTAGTGAAATCTGCTAGATTTATACAAGACTACAAGGGAACGATATATATAAAACACACAAACACACACACACTTTTGAGAAAGGGCATCTGTTGTGTCCTGGGCCTGCTGAATGACTCAGCAGGCTCAGGAGGCTGCAGAAGGCCTGGGCAGACCATGTGGTTGCCTGGGATCAGACAGGCTATCTCAAGCCTTGTGAGCATGTGCAAGGTGGGAAACTAGCCTTGCATTGATAGGCTGATGCTGTCCCTGCAAAAAGGGAGTATAAAAGGGCCAGCACTATTTTGTTTGCTGTTCTGTTCTGTTTATGATCTCAATAAAGAAGTTGTGTTTTGTTGCTCCTGCCTTGCTTTGATGTCTCTGATTCTAAAATAGAACATTGGCAACGAAGATGGGATTGGCTGCAAGAAGAACATAGGGGAAGCTAGGCTGACTTACCAGAGGAGGCCTGAAGTGCTGGGAAGTTTGGCGTCCAGAGGAAGTGATTGCCTGCCTATATGAGAACGCTGGAGGTGAGCTCGGCTTCGTGGGACCTCTTCTCATACCTTGCAGCAAGAGACATCAAAGAGGCTTCAGGTTGTAATGATGTCAAAGTTAGGCCATCTATTGGAATTTGATACTTCTCACCCTGAGCGCTGGAGCTCCTATGTGGCTCGAGTAGAGAATTACTTTCGAGTAAACAAGATCCAAGAAGATGGCCTTAAAGCTGCTACATTGCTGTGTGTCTGTGAGCAAGAGACTTTCGATATTGCAGAGAATCTTGTAGCCCCAGCACCACTGGAATCAATTTTGTATGCTGACTTAAAGAGGATGCTGTGAGAGCAGTTCGAACCCAAGCTCTCAGTAATTTCATGGAGGCACACCTTTGAGCAGAGGGATCAGAAGCCTGGTGAGTCTGCTGCAGACTTTGTTGCCGCCTTAAGACAAGGAGCTAGGCCTTGTGCATTCAAGGATCTAGAAGAGAGGCTCCAGATCATTTAGTTTGTGGGCTTCAGGGTTGTGAGCTGCAACAGAAACTTTTGGCAAAAGAAGACATGTCATTCCAAGATGTGTTAAGAGAGATTGCAGCTGAAGAAGCAGTGGGCGGAGCGGTGAAGGCCTTGAGGCTTGCCAAGAACCCCCCAACGCCTAGTACCATCCACCAAGAGGTCGCTCGGGACTTCCAGTTCCAGTTTGTGGCATCCCTAGTTGTATGGGGAGACTCGTCTCCTCATTGGCTAGCTTTCCCTCCACCGGTCGACTCTTATATGGGTCGAAAGTCACCCTGGAGGGTGTGACTTCCGTCAAGGAGGCTTTTGCTTGGCTGTGGAGGAGCAGCAGCTCCTCCAGCTGTCCAGGTGATCTCTGAGGGCCGACTGAGAAGAAGATCGGCCAGTAAAATGGCCGATCACCCTGCTGCTTCAAACCACAAGTCAAATAACATCTAAGCTGTAAGAACCCCCATGGTGAATCCGGGTGAGACTTTTCCTTGCTACTCTGTCTATTTTATTTTGCTTTTTGTACCTGTAAGAGCCTTGTTGGAATCATTTCCCTGGCTTGAGAAAGCAGCTTTTATGTGTTTGGGAAGGAAGGTGTTTTAAAAGACTATATCTTATTTCTATATTTTTTGGGATACAAAAAACTTTTTTTCGTAAGAACTGTACTATCATCTGGTTTTGGAAGATTATTTTTTCTTTCACACTATACTTTTAAAGATAGAAACAAGGAAATGGTGTCTGGAAAATATTTTTTTTCTTAACCTACTGAGGACTTCTAGTGGTGAAAACTTAATACTACAATTTCTGGTTACTTCTTGGAGTGAGACCAGATCTGATCTTCAAGGGTTTTTTTGAAAAAAGATAAGCTGTGCAGCTGTGGGAATTGTGGGGGTGGATACTGACTAATTTTCATCAAATACAGCCTTCACAAAAAAGAAAAAGAAAAAAGAGATTTTTTCTAACCACTATTAAAATGGAGAAACCGTACTCACAATTAAACTATAATCTTATATTGGAAAAGATATATGAGGCCACTGCAGAAATTTGTGCCATATTGAAAGAACCTATTACAGAACTAAGATCCAGAAATCTCACTTCAAATATTCAAACGGATGTTCAAACTATATCTGACTATTTTACAAATCAAAGCATACTAGAAGAGGAATTAACAGAGATAAAAGAGGAACTCATCCTACCTTACAATTCTCTCATTGGTAACTTTGAGGAACAGAAGAAGCAAAGACTGAGATTTGAAACTACAAAGCAACGACACTTTAAGGAGGAGAGAAACAGACGCTTGATGCAAAGGATGGGATCCCTATTCTTTCAAAGGCCACTGCAAGCAATAAAAATAAATCTACTGGCTGAAAGGGAAGTGTGTTTATGGAAACCTGCCTGGCACAGAAAAAAAGCCAGAATTAGACTGAAAAGAGAAATTTAAAATTGTGTAATGGATTAAAGGGCAACATTGGATTTATGGACTGTTTTAAGGATTAAGATTTAGAATTAGAAGCAAGAAAATGTATACATATATATGTCTTTTAAAATACTAAAAATGTGAATCATATATATATATATATATATATATGTATATGTATATGTATATGTATATGTATATGTATATATATATATATATATATATATATATATATATATATATATATATTTAGGTTTTGCTAACAAAGAATAAAGAGAGAATGGTATAGCTATTTCGGGTTCCTTTAACCCTCATCAGCCAAACTTACTCTTCTGAAATTCGAACCTGGGCTATCTGCATGTTAGGCAGATGTTATAACCTCTAAGCCATGGGTTCTCTAACTAATTGGGTCCGGTGACGAGATCGAGGAGCCGAGTGCAGACTTTGGCTTGCCTATAAAAATGACTCTCTCACCCTGGCAGCCCAACCCTGATGATGCCGGCAGGTGACGGCGAAAGCTTGGCGTTTTTAAATTAAACTTTTATAGTTTTAATTCATACCTTGGTGTTCATTTTATTTTAGATATGAATATTCCCAGGGTTCATATTTTTAACATTATTAACTATATATATATATATATATATATATATATATATATATATATATATGCGTGATTATTAGAATAGAGATTTTAAACAGATTAAGAATGTATTGGATTTGTGTATTTATGTAGCGTTTGGGAATGATAGATTTAATTTGATGAAAATCATTATGTATTGGAATTGAAAAAATGATGACTGTTTAGATTTGGATGGTTTCAATAATTAATGGAGTGTTTTAAATTAGTAGGAGGGCCTTTTTGTATGACAACAAAGACATGATAAGGCATGATAAGTAATTGGAGAAAATTTGAATTTTGTCTAATGAATTTGAATGAGTTAAGATTTAATATTATCTTGTTATTTTAAAGAGATGGATTGATTGTGGGATTACATATGTATAGGGGTTGATTAATATTTTATTGTTATCAGGATATCTATTGTGTAGTGGAAGAGGAAACAAATGAGATTGGTGATAAAATGAGGGATGTGAGAGATTAAGAATTAGAATTGATAATTTGTTGTTTTAAAGTTAAACTATGGTTATTGTAAACTGATAAAGTTAAAAAACAGGTTTAGCAGTAATAGAAACTTAAAATAGAAATGGAATATTTTAAATGTATTAAGTTATTTGAGGGAAATAGAGAGGGGATAGTGAAATGTATTGAGTTGTTTATATATGTCTTTATTTTTCAATGTATGACCACCCAAACACCACGGTGGGCCTTGAGTACTTTTCTTAAGAATTTAAAAAACCAATAAAATGTGTTTAAAAAAGAGAGGTTGCTCGGGAGGATTCCGAAGAGGAGCCAGAGATGGAGGTAGACAGGCTTCAGCAGCAAGCAGGAAGAAGGCCTCAGGAAGGTAGACAGCAGACAACCTCAGTCCCTCGGTGTTTCAGGTGTGGAGGTCGCCACAAGTGCTCTGACTGACAGTTCCGCTCCGCTATCTGCCGGGCATGTGGCAGGCAAGGCCACATTGCCTCCATCTGTTTGGGTCGCCAGAAGCAACGGTCTCCAGAAGAATTGCCTCTGAAAGGTACCAAGGTCCCCAGCCAAAACAGGGTGGGCTTCTGCGCATCCCGTAGGGCCGTTTTCAAAACCGGGGTTCATAGCTACTTAAATCGAAGCTTCACATTGACGTGAAGTTGGAAGGGGTTCCCTTGTCGAGGGAGTTGGACACAGGGTGAGCTCTATCGATCATTTCCTTAGACACTTTTAATATGATTTGCAGCAGAAGTGGCCTTCAAATTTAATCCTTACTGACTTCCAGAATTCCAGAGTCAGCATGAAGGGGGAGGCCACATTCAAGATGCAGCGTAGGAGTTTTGAAGGGCTGCTAGAAGTGGTGGTAGTTGGGGGTGATCGCACGAGTCTTATTGGACTCGATTGGTTCAAGGCCCTTGGGATTCAAGTGACTGGACTTCACAATCTGCAAATGTCAGGCCTTGCAGAAGTTTGCAAGGAGTTTGCTGATGTGTTCATTTCAGAGCTTGGCTCGTACAAGGGGCCTCTTGTTGCTTTACGTTTAGACCCAGCCATCACACCCATCAGGATCAAGCCCCGAAGGGTGCCTTTTGCCCTAAAGAACAAAATAGATGCAGAGCTGGACAAGCTGCTCCAGCAGGGCATCTTAGAACCTATGGACTCTAGTCCATGGGAAACCCCTATAGTCACGCCACTGAAGGCCAATGGAGAAGTCCGAATTTGTGCAGACTATAAATGTACACTAAATAAGGCATTGCAGCAGCATGCCTACCCGATGCCTGTGGTGAGCCACATTCTGGCCTCACTCAAGGGGGGCAAATCTTTGCAAAGCTTGATTTGGCTCAGGCCTATCAACAGCTACCTGTTGATGAGGCAACGGCTGAGGCCCAAACAATTGTGATGCACCGGAGAGCCTTTAAGGTAAAAAGGCTGCAGTTTGGGGTTAATGTGGCCACTGGAATATTCCAGAGTGTGATGGAGCGAACGCTCCATGGTATCCTGGGATCTGTCCCATCTTTGATGATGTCCTCATTGCTGGAGAGTCATCTGTGAACTTAGCTGAAAGGCTGAGGGCTGTCTTGTTGCGTTTCCGCCAAGCAGGGCTGAAGCTGAAGCAAGACAAATGTAAGATTGAAGTTACCTCCATTGAATTTCTGGGGTTCCATATTGATGCTGAAGGCATCCACCCTGCTGAATCCAAGCTCAAAGCAATTCAGCAGGCCCCAAGTCCCAAGTCCAAAAGCGAACTTCAGGCTTTTCTAGGACTGTTAAACTTTTACCATGCATTTCTACCTCACAAGGCCGCAGTGGCTGAGCTGTTACACTGGCTCTTGGATAAACAGGCTCCTTGGCAGTGGACACAAGTCCATGAAAAGAGCTTTTCAGAGGTCAAAGCCTTGTTTTCCTCAAATGCTGTATTAGCTCATTTCAATGAGAAATTCCCTGTATGCATAGCCTGTGATGCATCTCCTTACGGGGTTGGGGCTGTGCTGAGCCACCTCAAGGCTGATGGGACACAAGTCCTTGTGGCCTACTACTCCACTCTCTCATCTGCAGAGTGTAATTACGCGCAGATTGACAGAGAAGCCTTGGCAATAGTGGCTGGCATAAAGAAATTCCATGATTTCTTATATGGCCATTTCACATCTACATAGACCATAAGCCTCTGCTGAGTTTGTTTACAACAAACAAACAAACCCCTCATATAATATCCCCTAGAATGCTGAGATGGTCAATTTTCCTGTCAGCATATGACTATACTCTGGTCCACAAACCAGGTAAAGAAATGGGCCATGCAGATGGCCTAAGCAGATTACCTCTACAGCAGGTAGAGGCAGATCCTGCTCCTGCTCTGCACATTCTCTCCATTCAGGAATTGAATCTCCCCTCAATGCTAGGAATGTGGCTGCAGAAACTGCCACTGATCACACGGTTACACGCGTGCTGACATGGGTGTTGTCAGGATGGCCTGACACGTGTCCTGGTAAAGAATTCCAGAGTTTCTGGCAAAGAAAACACGAGCTTTCCACCTTCAAGGAGTGTATCCTATGGGGTAGCAGGTGGATTAATTTTGCAAGTCCTGTCTAATGTAAGGACCCACCCCACTTTGCATCTTAAGAAGACAGAACTCTTGGAATAATTCTTCCAACAGGCATCCTTTATTAAGAGAAAATGGTTGCAGGCATTCTAGACAGGACTTGGGGTCCAAGCTCTCCCATTCAACGTTTTAAGGGGTTCCCCAGTAGTCCCACCAATCACCCCCTTCTTCCAGCGACAGTCTTAGGCATTACACTCCCACCACCTTTTCCTTACTGCTGGCTGGATGGAGTCTTCAGAGAGAACTACATGAAGGTAATAGCCTGTAAGGACCCACCCGACTTTGCATCTTAAGAAGACAGAACTCGTGGAATAATTCTTCCAACAGGAATCCTTTATTAAGAGAAAATGGTTGCAGGAGTTCTAGACAGGACTTGGGGTCCAAGCTCTCCCATTCAAGGTTTTAAGGGGTTCCCCAGTAGTCCCACGCAATCACCCCCCTCTTCCAGCGACGGTTTCAGGCATTACAATTCCATCCCCTTTTCCTTTCTGCTGGCTGGATGGAGACTTCAAAGAAAACTACATGAAAGGTAACAGCTTCATTCTTATGGTTAGCTCTTTTGGCAATACACACAATCAGTTCCTTTCAAGTGTACCGAAGGAAGTGAGGGCCATAAAGCCCCTTTGTTCACCCCCTTCCCTTCATTGTATGGCAGAATCCAGAGAAGGCAGAAATGGGATTTTTTATAATTGATAACTAGAGATGAAATATAATTGGATTCTGACATCCTGCCCACTTAAAAAAAAACATCCACCTGAAAGAAAACAAAACAGGTATAAAAGTTAGTCAGGCTTGTTAGGGTATTCTGTGTGAAACTTCTTCAATAGCTTCGGGGCTCTGACATGACATTTATGGACCCACTCGTTTTGTGAGGGAGGGAGGTGTTTCCAGGCAACTAGGTACTGAGTCGCTCCATGATATCTCCTAGAGTCAAGGATTTCCTTTATTTCGAAGTGTTGTTCGCCCTCTACCATGATTGGAGGTGGTGGTGGGGATTTTTGGCCGTAGAGGTGACTGACGCTCTCTTTTCAGCAAGCTGCAATGAAAAATTGGGTGTATTTGCCTGAGATTTTTGGGTAATTCTAATTCTACTGTTACTGGGTTTATGATTCTTTTAATTGGAAAAGCTCCTATATATTTTGGTCCAAGTTTTTTACAGGGCTGTAGGGACTTTAGGTATTTTGTAGATAAGTACACCATTTCTCTTATAATGAATGGTGTAGGCTCAACACTTTTTTTATCGGCTTGTGCTTTGTATGCCTGCCTAGCTTCATCTAGTGCTTTTCTAACTATTTGCCAGGTGTCTTGTAATTGTTCCATCCATTCTTTCAATGATGGGATCGTTGGTTTGTTTGGGGTTAATTCTGGCATGGGGTTGAAATTTTGACCATTGGCTATTTGAAAAGGAGTGAAGCCTGTGCTGGAGTGGACTGCATTATTGTAGGCAACTTCTGCAAAAGGGAGTAAGTCCGTCCAATCACTTTGTTGGAAATTCAAAAAACATCTCAAATATTGCTCAAGTACTGAATGACAACGTTCCGTTTGTCCATCTCCTTGTGGATGATGGCTAGATGTCAGTCCCTGAGTGGTCCCTAAGAGGGATAAAAATTCCTTCCAAAATGCAGATGTAAATTGCACTCCCCTATCAGAGATCATGCATTGGGGTGCCCCGTGCAATCTGTAAATGTGCTGGATGAAAAGTTTTGCTAAGGCCTTTGTAATGGGAATCTTTTGGCAAGGGATAAAGTGCACCTGTTTCGAAAAAAAGTCCGTGACTGTCCAGACAACAGTATTCCCATTGCTTTCTGGCAATTCCACTATAAAATCCATGACTATTTCCCTCCAGGGGGCTGAGGGATTTGCCACTGGTTGTAATAGTCCTGGCGATTTCCCTTGCAACCTCTTTGCAGACGCACATTTTGGGCAGCTGGCAACATAACTTTCTATGTCCTTTTTTATGGATGGCCACCAAAATTGCCATTTAATTAAGTGTAAAGTTTTTACAAATCCAAAATGCCCTGCTGATTTTGTGTCATGGCAAAGCTGCATGAAAGTGACTCTTTGGATTGTTGGTATATATAACTTTTCCCCTACCCAAGGCAACCCATCTCTCATTGTGCAAAGATTTTTGTTTTTCTGGAACCATTCGTCTGTTTCCAACTTTTTCTGAATTCAATTCCAGTTTGGCTGTCCAGTTGTGGTTTTAATTTAGGTTGGGTTCTTGTGGTTACTGGTGCTGCCAGTTGTGACTCTGCCATTATTGGTTTAGAGTCTGTGGTTCCTGCGCTGTTATATTGGGGCATGCGAGATGGTGCCCAATCTAATACTGCTCTGACCTTCTCTGGGTCCATTTCAATGCCCTGGGGGGATATGAGATAACCTAGGTAGTCTATCCTTTCCTGGTGGAATTCGCATTTTGAGAGTTTGGCATATAGGTGGGTGGCTCGCAGCTTCTTCAAAACTGCTCTGACAAGGTTGACATGTTCGTCTTTTGTTTCAGTGAAGATAAGAATGTCGTCCAAGTAAACAAGGACCCCCTTAAACAGGTGCTCCCTTAGAACGTCATTGATTAATTGCATAAAGACTGCAGGGTCCCTTGTAATCCAAATGGCAAGACTTTGAATTGATAGCACCCCCTGGGGCAGTTAAATGCAGTCTTCCATTCGTCCCCTTCCTTAATTCTCACACGATAGTACGCTTCCCTTAGATCTAGTTTAGAAAATTTTTTCCCTTTCGAGAGGTTTGACAGCATGTCTTTCATGAGGGGCAGAGGGTATAGGATGCTTTCATTGATTGTATTCAGGCCCTATAATCCACACATAAGTGTAAAGAGCCATCCTTCTTCTCTCTAAAAAGGACCGGGGCAGCCACTTTAGGCTTGGCTGGCTCAATGAATCCCCTCTCTAGGTTTTTTTTAATGAATCTTTCCATTTCCTCCTTCTCCTTTGGGCTCATGGAGTATAATCTGGGCTTTGGGAGTTTTGCCCCAGGCTTGAATTCAATGGTACAGTCTGTGAGTCGGTGGGGGGGGAGCTCATTCGCCCTCTCCTCACTGAAAACTTCAGCAAGGTCTCTGTATTCCTCTGGTATTTCTGTTAATCTTTTTTCCTTTCCTATGGAGGCTTTTTCTATTCTTGATTCTGGTAGCCTCCCTTGGGGTTTTAAGTCCACAGAGTCCCCCTTTGGGAATTTGATTTCTGTCATCCTCCAATTTACCCAGGGGTTCCATTTTTTCAACCATTCCATCCCTAGGATCATTGGCCATTCCATGCCTGGGGTCACCACAAACGTTATGTCCTCCTCATGTTTGCCCAGGGAGAGGTGTATTGGTAGAGTGGCTAGGGTAGCTGGCACCCCCCCTGCTATGGATCCATCTAACTGGCCAAATGAGATTGGTTGTTCCAGTCTCCTCAATGGAATCCCCAGATTCCCCACTAGTGTTGGGCTAATGAGGCAGCGGGTGAAGCCAGGGTCTATTAAGGCTTTCACCTTCACGGCTTCGGGCATGGGGGGAATTAATATAGTCACTGTCTTGAGGATCGGTGCGATGTGTCCACTTACCAGGGGTTCGCCCTCCAAGCTGTCATCTGAGGTGTCCACCAGGCCTGTGGTGTAGGCTGGAGTTGTTTCCCCCCAATGAGCAGAAGTGGGGGGTTCCGCAATTTCCATCATTCTCATGGAAGTTTCTTTTGGCTTAGCTGAAGACTTTCCGGATTCGCTGATTGGGGATCTGTCTGGTTTGTGCTGGGGGGCTTTGGAGCGGCATTCTACAGCTCGATGCCCTTCTCTTCCACACTTGAAACACCCCATTTGCTTCTTGGCTGTAGCCGATGATTTCACTGGTTCGTGTGTCAACTCAGGAGGGGAGCGGCTCCATTGTTTTCCTCAGCGGTGTCTCTTCAATATGTCGATCTCTACTTCCTCTGCCAAGATGTACCATTCCTCAAGTTGGTGTGGGTCCCCTCGGGGCAGGTACCAACGGCGGATATCTTAGAATGGATTGGTGCCTCCATTGTTGGTGGTGGTGTCTTCTGTCCAGATCGCCATCT